TTACGGCTCCAGCCCTCCCTCACCCCCCGCCCCTCGTCTCACTCAGTCTGATTCCACTCGGCCCTCCTGCCAGCCCAGTCCCCGGGGTCATGGCCGTGACCTCTCCCGGTGAGCCTGGTGTGGCCGCCTGACCAAAGCCCTGTTCTCAGTTACACCCAACTCTGGGACTCTGGGTGGACACCCGAGGACTAAACTTGGCCGGAGAAAATCTCGGGCTGCTGACGAACCCACTTCAAAGGGCACTTGACGAGACCCGGGGCCTCATCTCTTCCCTGGACCTCCCGCCACACTGGCTTCCATTCTCAAATACTGTCAGATTATAAAATGTTCCCGTATAACACAGTCACGTGGCTCAGTAATAAAAATTTAAAACAGGATATACAGTGAACTACCTCCCTCTCCGTCTCTGTCTCCCTCCCCATCATCCTCCTGTGCCTCCCGCTCTTTTCCTCCCCACTTCTGGCGTGTGTGTGTGTGTGCACGCGCACGCACACACACACACACACCTGTGTGCCCACACGCTCACAAGTAATCACTCTTATTAGTTCCTGGTGTATTCTCCTAGGCTACCTAAATGCACACACAGGCAAATACAAATGAATATATTATATAAATACATATGATACGTAAGATACAAAATTCTCTATATATCTTTCCCCGCTTTTATTTATTTGAACGCAACACACCATAAACTGTTCTGCATTGTGCTTTTTTTCTCCGTGACATTCTATACTGGAACAATTTCCACATCAGGACAGAGAGACCTTACTCATGCTTTTGTACAGCTGTAGAGTACTCCGCGGTCTGCTGAGCTGCGATTATTTGCCTGGAACTACTGATGGACAGGTAGGGAGTTTCCAACACTTTGCTACTACACGGTGACCAGCCTGGTACCTGCATCACTTTCCATGGATACTAGAGTATGGATAAGATTCATTCCTGGACGCGCGCCTGGGGGGCTCAGTCGGTCAAGCATCTGCCTTCGGCTCAGGTCATGATCTTAGCGTCCTGGGATCGAGCCCCATATGGGGCTCCCTGCTCCGCGGGAAGCCTGCTTCTCCCTCTCCCACTCCCCCTGCTTGTGTTCCCGCTCTCGCTGTGTCTCTCTCTGTCAAATAAATAAATAAAATCTTAAAAAAAAAAAAAAGATTCATTCCTGGAAGGGGAATGGTTGGTTCACAGAGTTTTTGTTGACTTGACCCATGTTGCCAGATGGCCCTCCGTGGGGGTAAAATGACCCTCCCAGCATAGCCAGTGAGAGTGGCCGATGGCTGTCAGCCTTGCTACACAGAGTGTCGTCACCCACTTGGGTTTTGGACAATCTAATGAGACACACTCTTTCTGCAGACCTCTCAAACTTCACTCCCCAAATCTCTGCCCCAGGGCCTCCTCCCGCTCCCCTCAGGCCTTCCTCATCTGGGAGGTGGCACCACTGTCCCCCTGGCTTGGTTAGGGGCTTTCTGATGGTTCAGGAACTTGCTCTTCTCTCACACCCCGCTCCAGAGCTAACCCCATCCCCCTCCACATCGCGGCCCTCACTGACAACATCATCTCTCCCCCAGGCAACCCCAGCACCCCTTTAAGGGTCCCCTTGCCTCCCCTCAGCCCTCCATTCTCCAGGCAGCAGCCAGAGGGGTCTTTCGGAGTCATACATCACATCAGTCCCAACTGCCGCTTCAAAATCCTCAATGCTTTTACAGCGGGAGTGGCCCCAACTCCCAGCCCCAACTAAGGTTCTCAGACCCCTGTCTCTTTGGTGGGATCTGGCTCCGCTTCCCACCTTCACTGCCCCCCCCAACCCTGGAGCTCTTGCCCTAGAACCGGAGCCCTTCCAGCACTACACCCACCTCTACCCTTTGCCCCCGCTCTTCCCTCCCCTGCACTGCTCTGCCCAGGTCCGTGTAAGTGGCCAAGTCTGGGGTCCCAAGCCAACAGTCTCCTCCTGCGTGAGCACTCACTCCCCATGGCCGCAGCCGGAGCTGCCCCACCTTAATCTCTACTGAGTCACTCCCACCCCATCACCCCACTGCGCTTGGACCTGAACTGTTTGTTTGCTTGCTCTGTGTTTTTTGCGGGCCTCTGGGAATGTCAGTCCTTCTGGGCGGCCTCGGCCAACTCTCAGCACTGCCCCAGCCCCAGCAGGGATGGGGGAGGGTTGGAGGGCCCCATCAGTGCTTGTGCCCTGACTACTGACTCCCTTCCCCTTCGCACCGGGCCCCGTGTCCCTGTACGACCTGAGAGCAGGTGGCTACTCCCTCTGCAGGCTGTCCCCTCTGTGCCCTGAGCCTGGTGACTCACTCCTCCACTGGGCTCAGATCCTTCCCCTAAGGGAATTTTCCTACAGTGGGGGGAGAGGATGGGGAAGTTCCTGAAGTGGAACCCTTGGTGGTAGCGGGAGCTGGTGACCTCCTGCCCCTTCCCACCCTGTTTGAGTCCTGTTCCTCATTTCTCCTGGAGCTCCACCGGCCCAAGTGGAAGGGGGGGCAGTGCGGGGGCTCTGGGGTCCTCACCACTGCCCCCGGCTCCGAGGACCCCCACCTGCCGCAGCTGCAGCCAGGCTGGGGTCCTGGTACCCCAGCCTTTCATGTCTTTAGGTCCATCAGGTCAGCCTGGCCTGAGCAATCTGAAGCTTCCGCCTGGTTCTCAGTGCCTTCACTCTCCTCAGGCAGTACCAAGGGGGAGGGGCGCGCTGGCCCCAGCAGACCCTGCCCCCAACCCCTCACTCCCCACACCCCTGATTCCCACTGCAAACCGCCCCCCCACAATGCTCCAGGTGGCCTGGGACCTGGGACCAGGCTGTTCCCCGGGAGCCACGTGCACCTGTGGGCCCAGCTCAACTGAGGGGGAGGAGGGTGTCCCGGGGCCCCAGTCCCCCTCCCTCCTTGCTCCCCACTGTGAGGCTGCTCCAGCCCAGCCCATCCCCGCTGGCCTCTCTCTCCTCCCCTGGAACTGGCTGAAAGGGCCCCCAGACCCCCAGGCTCCACATGTGGCTCCCTTGGGGCCCTTCCCTCGGCTATGTGGAATGGAGGGACTCTGCCCTTCCTCAAATCCTGGGTCAGGTGAACTGGTGTCCAGGTGAGCTGGGGCCATCTCTAGAGACAGACTGTGGGTCTCCTCTGGCCACAGCCATGGCTCTGTGAGTTCAGTTCCAGAAATGGAAGGGCAGGTTCCCACTGGGCACAAGGGTGGGGGTGAAATGATTGTCTGGAGTCCACCCCTCCCCCCTCATCCTCCAAAGGAATGTGGGGAAGACCAAACGGCTTATGGCCCCGTTTACAGGTAAGGAAACTGAGGCGCAAAAGAGCGAAATGACTGGTTGTGCCCCATAGGCAGCCCCCCCACCACCACAGCTCATGCTCATTGGTGAGAATGGGGAGGAGGCGCCATAGAGCTGGACTCCCGGGGGGGTGGGAGGGGGGTCCTGCCACAGAGCCTGGGGAAACAGGGTTTCCCAGGCCCTGGGAGGCTGAGGAAGCCACCGCTGCCCCTTCTGGCTCCCAAAATGAATCACTCTAAGCCAGTTTTGAAATCAGGTTTATATTAAGCTATAAAAACTCAGACCCTGTCCTGAGTACATACATACAAAAGCAGTGCTATCAAAAATAATATTAACAATGTCAAACACACTAACTCCTACAAACGTACAAAGGCCCTTGTGCACCATTTACATGGGCCAGTTCCTGGCCACAGTACCGGGAGAGAGGGGGACAAACCCAAGTGTTCCGGCTCCAGACCCCACCTCAGCACGCTCAGAGGCATGAGGCTGAGACCTGCCTGCGTCTGACCCTCACCCTCTTAAGCTGAGCAGGCCTCATGGGCTGGCAGGGGCCTAGGAGATTTCCTGGAGCCATGTTTTCCCCAGGGTGGGATAAGGCACCGTCCAGGGCAGGGGGTGGATGGGGGTGCATGGAGGGAGCAAAATCACGTCCCCCACGCCGGGAAGCCCACATCCTAACACCTGGAACCTGTGATTATGTCAGGGTCCGTGGCAAAGGGGGCTGAGGTCGCAGGTGGGGTAAGACTGCTAATCAGCTAACTTTAAAATAGGGGCTGATCTTGGATTATATGGTGGGCCAAAGGTCATCAAAAGGGTCCTTAAAAGTGGAAGCAGGGGCAGGAGAAGAGATCTGAGGTCTGTGATGTGGAAAGGATTTGACTGGCCACTGCTGGCTTTGAAGATGGAGGGAGCCACAGGCCAGGGAATACAGGCAGCCTCCAAAAACCGGGAGAAGCAAGGGAAGAAACCAGCCCTGCTGACACCTTGGCTTTAGCCCTTGAGACCTGTGTCGGACTTCTGACCTCCAGAGCTGAAAGATAAGTTCTGGTTTCAATGACCATGTTTGTGGAAATGTGTTACAGCAGCAATAGGGCACTGATCCAGAGGCCAAGGGGTCAGAGGTCAAGTTTGCCCTGCCCAGACCTCAGGTTGACTTCCAGGCAGCGGCCCCATGGAGCCCTCCCGCCCCCACACACCGGGCCTATCCCTACATGGAAGACCCAGGATGTCCAGTACCCAGATAAGAGTTCATTGTTTCCTTTGCTTTCTAGTTCTGCCTTCGATTCCACGGACATGCTGAGCCCCATTCACTGTAGTCCTGGGCCAGAGGAGGCGGGATGGGTGAGGCTCAGCCCCTGGCCCTCGGCAGCTGGGAAGCCGCTCAGACCCAGCCATGAGGACAGTTGTGATAGACTGTGGAGGGGTCCCATGGACCGGAAGTGACCCGGGATCTCTGACCCTGGCCACTCTCCCTCCCAGCTCCCTCCTTTGGTACATGCGCCATCAACCATCATTTACAAAGAGTCTCTTGGGGATTGCCTCACTGCCCCTGCCCCCCACAGTGGGCGCTCCCGCCCACACGGGACGGGCAAGTAAACCGGGCCTATCCAATTCCAGCCGCCCAGGGACTTGTGCCTTAACAGAGGCTGGACAGGAACCGCAGCAGTAGGCAAAAAGCCCGTTGAGGGGCCGTGGAGTGGAGCGGAGTGGTAGCCCACCAAGGGGGGTGATGTCCGATGCTCACTGGGTGCTCACCAGCAGGCCAGGCCGCAGGGAAAGCTAACCGACCTTTATGAGTGAAAATAGGGGCTTGGCAGACTGGCGCGGCCCCGTGCTGACGTCCATGCTGACGTCCAGGATGCTTCGGATGCTCTTAACCTCGCTGCTCGACAGGTTTCCCTTGATGGCCAAGATGGCACTCAGGTGGCCTTTGCTGGCAAGGAGAGCAGCCTGTCAGTCCAGCCTAGTCACCAACACCCCTACTCACACCTCTTCCCAGCTCCCCAGACTCCTGGCCCAAGCCACAGGGCCCTGTATCCAAGCTCCTGCCCACGAGGGGGTCGCTGTCTCCTTTGCCCATCATGCTCCACCAGCCCCAGACACCTGTCCTTCCCTAGCGTGTGCCAAACTCCTGCCGGCCTCAGGTCTTTGCACTGGCTGTTCCTCCTGAAACGTTCTTTCCCACACTCTGGAGATGAGCAGCTCCTTCTCACACTTTGGGCCTCAGGGAAAATGTTACCTCCCCCAAGATTTCCCATCTCTAAAGTCAGCACCTCCTGTCATTCACAACCTTGGTTAAACAATCTTTACAGATCATAATTGTATTTCTTTGCCTGATTACCTCATTATTACTATCCTGCATTAGGTTGTAAGCTACACGAGGGAGGACTGAGACCTGGTCCGTCTTATACTTCATTGCATCCCAGTACCAAGAACAGAGCCCGGCACTTAGCAGGAAACCACTCAATAATTGGTAGGATGGCTGGATGGATGGAGGATGGATGAGTGGGTGGATGGGTGGGTAGGTGGATAGATGGATGGGTAGGTGGATGAATGGATGGATGGGTAGATGGATGTATGAATAGGTAGGCGAATGGATGGATGGATGGATGAATGAGTGGGTGGATGGGTGGATGGGTACACAGATGTCTGGATAGATAGGTGGAAGGGTGGGTGAGCAGATGGGTGGGTAGCTACATGGATGGGGAGATGAGTCGATGGGTAGACGGGTGTTTATATGAGTAGATGGATGAATGGGTGAGTGTGTAGATAAGTAGCTAGGCAGGTAAATGGACGGAGTGGATCAACCAGAGGCTAGACTAGGCTGGACTAGGCTAGGCAATCCAAATCAAGACTGTTCAAACTTTCCCTACCATGTCAGAGGACTCAGCCTAGAGAAACAATTGCCCTAGCTCACCAGATCCTCAGAGGGCTGGGGGGTAAGCCTCTACTCTGACCCCAGGGCTGGATCCCAGCTTAGCATGGCTTCTAGCAGGTCCCTAGTCTCTCTGGTTTCAGTTTCCCCTCTAAGGGGGGCAGTATCCTTTCAGGCTAAAAGTGGGGACTGTGGAGCCAGACTACCTGGCTTTTCCATCTTGGCTTCACCCCTGGCTACTGTGTCACCTCAGACAAGTTCCTCAAGCTCTCCAGGCTTCCTCCGCAGAATGGAGATGAAAAGCCTCTCCTTCATGAGGCTGTAGTGAAGTTCCAGTGAACGAGCCACTGTAACATCTTAGCACCGTGTCCGGCACTCGGCCAGCCCTCCACAAGGGTTAAGTCCTGGGACCGCGTCCCCGAGGCTGGTATCAGCTCTGGCAGCCCTGAAGTCCCGAGTCCAGCCCCACCAGGCTCTGACCAGTGCCAGCAGGGCCTTGTGAACGGCCCCGGCCTGTGGTGCCCTTGCTCTCACCTGAAGTCGGGGTACCAGGTAGCATAAGTGGCCACCTCGATCTTGATGGCACTGGGGTCTTGCAGGCGAATGACCTCGGCGAGCTTGGGGAGGGCGTGATGCAGCCAGGTCGCGGAGGAGCCCTGCAGGCATAGGTCTGGTTGGAGGCGGGCCGCCCCTTCCCCGAAGGGCACCCGAGGGCCCAGAGAAGTTCACGTCGGACCTGGTCAGGGCTGGGGGGAGGCCCGGAGGCAGTCCTGGCCCTGCAGGACCTGGGGGAGGGGCAGGCAGGAGCTTACGTACGCTACGTACGTTACGTACATTCTGGGTGCAGAAGCGCTGGATGACGTCGGCGTTGGCCAGGACGTCCTCGGCCAGTTGTTGCTGCTGCTCGGCCGTCCTGAGCACTAGGCTGCGCTTGCTGAGGCGGATGATGTATTCCTTCACCAGGTGCAGGTGGACGACCTCCGCGAGCTCCTGGCGGGGCGGGGCGGGCCGGCAGGGGTGTGTGAGCCGCCGCGCCGGCCCCCCAGGCCTCGAAGCCAGGAGTCCAGGCAGGCCCAGGTGCGTACGCGTGCTTGTGTGTGTGCATGCGCGTGTCTGCAGGTGTGCGCCGCGCACACGTGTTAGGGTGTGTGTCCAGACTGCCCCCCAACCCCCCGCGCCCCCGCCAGGCCCAGCCACCGGCCCAGCACCTCCTCACCTCCCGGAAACAGTCGTGCAGTTCCGAGAACTCGGGCAGCCTCTCGGCCACGGTGGAGAGAATTTCTTCCAGGGTCTGCGCCGGCGCCGCCCAGCGGGTCTGCGTGAACCTCTTGAACAGCGGCTGCGGCAGGAGAGAGGCAGGATGTCTGGTCACGCCCTGCAGAGGAAGGCCCGCCGGCCGCGGACACACGCGCGGCGACACACGCGGCCAGCGCAGGGGCAAGGCGGGGGCGCGGGGAGGGGGGCTCGAAGACTCCCAGGGAACTTGGGCGGAACTCGGGGCCCTGTTCCCAGACAGGAAGTGGAAACAGGGTCCCTGGACCCTTCTCCAAGGTCAACCAGCTGCAGCTCTGGAGCCAGGCCGGCCATCTGCCTGCCTTGAGGCCTTTTCCACCGCCCCCCTCTGAAATAAATAAATTCCTGCATAAACAAGGACTTGTGCTTGGCGGGGGGCCTGTGAGGACCCCTGCCAAGTCATCCAGGGTCACTGCCCGGCCTTCAACCCCGGCTGGCTACCCACAGCCTTCCGCCCTGGGCAGTAGGGACAAGGCGGGCTCCGGCGGAAAACAGGCGGGGAGCTCCTCCTACTTTCTTTCCAGGGACCCCTGCCTCACCCTCTGCTAAGGGAGCCAGGGGGTTTCTGTGGACTTCTTGGCCCACAGCAGGTGGGGCAGCGGCTGCCAAAGGCTCCAAGCATCCCCGCTGGGAGGAAGGCGTGGGGACGGGGCGCAGGCAGCAGGGCCTGGGGGAGCTGGAGAAGGAGCGCGCAGGCGCGGGACTGGCTTGCGTCTCAGTGCGGGGAGAGGCACTAACGCTTCCCTGGGGGTTCCCAGCCCAAGGGGCCCCTCTGAGGCCAAGCCCAGGCTGAAGTGGTGGGGATGAAGTCAAAGGCCCTCTGTGGCCTCCATCACTGGGGTGGCACAGGCCTCATGACAGCTGGCCACACACGTCTGGGTCCCTGCTTCTGCCCTTCCTCCCCTCCCGGTCCCTCTCTGCGTCCCGCCAATGCTAAGCTCAGCAGGCACCCCAGGGAGTCAGGCTCTGGTACCTTCAGGTCCCCGAACAGGCGCTGGAGCAGGGTGTCAAAGCCATGACTCTTGAGCTCACTCAGGGGGCTCAGCAGGTGGCCCGGGATGTCCTGTGGGGTCTGCCAGTTCTCCATGGAGGTCCTGGAAGGCCACGGACGTGGCAGGGAGGTCACGCCAGCCCTCCAGACTACAGTCCCCTACCCAGAGAACCTCCTGGCCCTAGGCAAATCTTCCTAAACTATCTTTTCACTCTAGAACCCTCCATGACTCCCCATTCCCTGTGGAAGCAAGTCCGGATCATCCCATCCCTGCTCCGGAGGCAGCACCTAGCCTGCTCACCCCCAGGGAGCACCTGCACCACATGCCCTTCATCCACGTCTGCCCAACAGACACAACCACCGCATCTGTTTCAGAGGGTGTTACAAGAATGAAATAAGGAATAAATCCTTCGCATGATGCTTGACCCACCAGCACTTGATAAATGTCTGCTGCTGCTGCTGCCGCCCCTACAGACCCCGGCCATCTCCTCACAACCATGCTCATTGTAATCCCACAACTTCGCTCATGCTGTGCCTCTCCCCCACCCCAGCCCCCATGGGCCTCCCCTCCTCCCCCAGCCAACCTCTTCCTCCAACAGCCCGGTAGGCCCAGTGATTCCCAATTCCTGCTCCCACAAACCCCTCCTAGCACCCTTACCCCCTTACCGGAGGGACAAGCAGTTGTTGATGTTGGCGATGACATTGGCCCTGTAATTTCTCAGCTGTCTGCATCTCTCCAGAAATTCATCAAAGGCTCGCTGGTAGCTGGTGAAACCGGAAGGGGCACATGCAAGGGTCAGCACAGACACTGGGACAATAGCAGCCTCCAGCCTGCCCCCCAGCCCCCCTGGGCTTACAGAGCTCCTGTCGGGTTGACAGGCTTCTTACAGCCCAGGGAGGGGCTGCTAGCCCCTGAGCATCGGTAACTGGCTTTGCAGGCCAAGGCAGAGCTCCTGCTGCCCCACTCCTTCCCCCCAGACCCTTCTATAGCGGGAAGACGGGGGCCAGGGCCGGGGCGGGGAGAAGGCAAGGGATACATGGAGGAGTCCTCAGAGGAAGGGAGGGAGGCAGCCAAGAGAAATGCTGGGCTGGAGAGCCGGGGCACCGCAGAAGGGAGGCCAGGGCCTCAGTCCCTCCTGGGGCATCCTCTTTGCAGCTGGAGGCTGCAGTGCTAAGGGCTTCCTGCTCAGCGGTCTCATCACCTGAGGCTCTCAGGGCTCGGGTGGGAGGTTGGGGCGGGGGGGCGATGTGAGGACTCCTGCTCATAATGACAGACACCTCAGAGGCAGGAAGGGGACGCTGATCTGGCCTGGATACCCAAGTGGGACACAAGGGAGGGCAGGTGGCTCTGAGAGAAGTGGCTACAGGGACCAGGCCCCCCCTCCCAGGCACAGGCAGGCGCAACCCACCTCCTCAGGAATGCAGCCAACTCCAGCAGCAGCAGGTGCTTTATCTGCACGCCCAGGTCAAGGGTGATGCTCTCGGCCTTGGCCTGGCCCTGGGAGATGATCTGCAGGGGTGAGGGGTGAGCTGAGACGGGGGAGGGGGAGGGGGTAGGCCGGCACAAGGGGAGGGCGGTGCTCAGAGTGGGCACGTGTATGCACACACATGGGGTAGGCGTGGGCTGTGTTACCTGGATGATGTCGATGGCCAGCTCGCTGTGGCAATGGCCGTCCAGCCTCTGGGGAGCCACATCCCGGGCCCAGCGTTGTGACTCCAGCTCCAGGGCCCGGGCCATCAGCTCCCTCACACTGACCTGGGGGCAAGAGAGGCAGGTCAGGGCAGCACAGAGTCCATCGGCCGGGCCCACGTGGGAGTCCCTGTCAAGTTCCTTGCCGGCGTCCCGCCTGTCTTCGAGCCTCCCCTGGCTTCCTTCCTGCACCGCCCTGGCCCCGGGCCCTGGTGCTGGACTCACCACCTCGCTGGACAAGAACGTGGCCTCCAGCAGCCGGATCTGCCTGGGGGGCAGAAGGCTCCCAAGCTGGACTCTCTGCAGCTCTCCCCCCAGCTTGGGGCTGTTGATGATGTCACTGCAGGCAGAGGGGGGCTAGCGTGAGAAAGACTGCACCCACTTAGCACCAGCGCTCATGCCAGAGCCCACCTTCTCAGCCTCAGGCTCCGGCAGGCCCAGAACTTGATCGCCCTCCCCCCAGCCCTGCTTGTCCAGCTCAGAGGATGGGTCCTCGGTCTGTGCAGTTGGGTTTCGGTCAGAAACCTTGGAATCTTCACGCCTGCTCTGACTCATTCCCCCCCATCCACTCCTACTGAAGCAGATCAGCCTCAAGTCACCCTGCCCGAGGCCCTAACCGCCACCATCATCTCTCGCCTGGCTGGCTGCAGGGGCCTGCTCTCCAGCCTCCTGGGCCCCAGCAGTCCCTCCTCCGCGCAGCAAGCATGACTTTGGAGTCCGGCCCCCTCCCTGACACAAGGCCTCCAGCTCACACAGATACAAGCCGGCTCCTTCGGCTGCGGACTGGCCGCTCGCTCCCCACCCTTCCCACCTCATTCCCTCACTGCACTCCAGGCCTGCTGGCCTCGGGAATCCTGCCAGCCCGGGACCAGCACCCCCAGGCCAGCCCTGCTGCCCGCCCCCCGAGGGCGGGTCTGTGCAGGCAGGAAGGGCTGCCCCACCCCAGCTACTCCACTCACTCTTGCGGCGCCTGTGTGGGATCCGGGAGCCCCAGGGACCGTCCAGCCCTCCCTGGCACTTCCTCAGGGGCCTCTGGCTGCCCAGACACACGAGGACGGCCCTCTCACCCCTCTCCCAGCCGGGATGTGGCTGGGACCCTTTGCTCCCTGTCTTCTGGCCACTCTAGCCACACAGGCCTCAACGGCAGCCCCCTGCACTCCCTCTCCCTGGGGCTCTGCCCTGCTGGCCTCAGTTTCCTGCTGTGCCGCCCCTAGTGGGCCCCAGGCCAAAAGCCCTGAGGTCACTGGGACAGGAAGGCTGAGGTGCAAATGCCCAGTATTTCCTGGTAAGTCAGGATAAGCAAGGAGAAACTGGCTCATGACTGGCCTGTCTAGCCTGCCACCCCAGCCCTATGCCAGTTTCCCTATGCCCTGCTGACTCACCCACCACCTCCACGGCACCCTTCCTCTGGCCCCCCCGCTGGAGGCTGAGCCACTAGCACCCCCCGAGACCACCGGCCACCCCGATGTGTCCCCGAGACCCTCAGTCACTGCTCACGCATGTCCAGGCTTCCTGCAGGCTTTACCCTGGGGGCCAGAGTTAGCCCCCACAGGAAGCCCTGGCCTCCCGTGCCCTGGGCATTTCCACCCAGCACTGCACTCCTCACCCAGCTTGGACAAATGACAGATGTGCTCGGGACTCTGGGTAAATCAGAGGGGACCTGAGGCACTCTGTTCAGAGCCGGCCTCCCACCCAAGGAGCTCTGAGCCTCGGGGACCAGAACCCAGTTCTGCCGTGGGCTCACCGGCTGACCCTGCACAACAGCCACATGGCCCTGCCATGGCCCTGCTCTGCCCCATTGCCCGTGCTGCCCAGAGCGCCCCCATAGCCTGCCAGGAGAATCCAAACACTGGCCAGCTCTGCACAACTCCCAGGAAGTCTCAGGGCTCAGCCCGGGCCGTGGAAGATGACTCTCTTGGTCGGGAACACCACCCTCCCTCCACCTTCTTCCAGGCCTGCCCTCTCCCCTCCCCTGCCTGCCTCTCTTCCTTCCAGCAGCAGGCAGAATTTGGTTCCTCTTCCTCCCCTCCTCCTCCTTCACCACCTCAGGGGTGGCTTCCTCAACCAACTGGGGCTGCTCAGGGCCCCTGCTGGTGGCTCCCACAGTCCCTGGTCTCCTCTGCCACCGCCCTCCCGGCTCTGGATGGTCACCGCCTCACCCCGCTCCTCAGACTGGGAGCTCAGCAATGAATGATGAAGTCCCCGCCATTCCCCGTGCCTCGGTTTCTCCAACTGTAGAATGTGGCTGAAGCCAGGAAATCAAGGATTCCCAGGGCAAAGCCAACGGAGCGCAGGCCCTGCTCCTGAGCCTCCCAGCCTCCGGGAGCGCGGCGCCCACTCACTTGGGGTACAGGTTCTGCACCCAGACCAGCAGCATGTAGGTGTCGCGCTCACACAGCTCGAACTGCGCCATGGCCGCCAGCTGGGCCGCGAAGTGCTCGTGGTAGCTCTCGGCGTAGGCGGCCACCACGTCCACCTCGGCGGGGAACAGCGGCTTCAGCCGCTCCACCACGGCCTCCAGGTCCTCCCTCATGGTGCGGCCCATGTGCAGGAAGATGCGCTCGGCCTGCGAGCGGCCCTCGACGCCCGCGGCCGGCGGCGCACACAGGCGCTCCTCGGCCGCCTGCGCCACCCCGCGCCGCCACAGCTCCAGCCAGCGCCGCGGGCGCGC